AAGCGCCTGCTCATCGAGGGCGGGAGAGGTGTTCCCTCACTTCGCTGGGTGCCACCTCAGCACCACAGCCCCTTCCCTTGCTGTCACACACCCTCGCCGGAAAAAATCCCTCCTCTCGCCCGCTGCAAGACAAGCGCCCTTTTGTTCAGGGGGGAAAGCACCTACCGCCCTTCGGCTGCACACGCAGCCCCCGGCCGCCCAGCTGCAGGAAACCTCTCTCCTCCCACCCACTCGGCGTTCACGTTTAATGCAGTTAAGAAACCGGTGTAAAAAAGTCACCCTTCTGCACGTGAGCTCTTGGCAAAGCGTATCCGCACAACGCTCTGGGCTCGCAGGACCCTCGCCAGCAGCGGTGCGAGTCCGTGGCGAAGCTCTGGACACCAGGACCTGCTGGTCGGGGGGGGGAGCCAGTGGCAGGTCGGTGCTCGCTCATCTCTCCCCCCGCACCTCGGCCGCACGAGCAAGGCCACAGGGACGCCCTCGAGTCAGCAGCCTTTACCCCCGCACGCAGGCAGGTACTGTCCCCCTGTCCGGGGATGCCGTGCGGTCAGACCCCGTGCCACGCTGGCGGCCCCGAGCACATCTCAGGGCAGAAAAGATGGCTCCTCCAGAGCTTTGTCTAAACAACCATCACAAAACATGTCTCCCCATCTTTCTGCCCCGAAACAACACTGCTCTTACCTGGAGGCTCTCAGCAGACAAGCTGGGGTGAATATCGGGGCTCTGTCTTCCCTGCACGTGGGGAGGACGGGGTGGGAAAAGCCTCTCCCCCCATCCGGCCGAGCGTCCAGGAGATTTGGCCGCACGTTAGAGCTTCTGGGAATTTGCACTCATTTCAGGATTCAGTAAAACCTTAATCTGCAGCGTAATCTCTGAGCATCACATCTGTGCAGGAGAAAGAAAAAATGGGGCGGGGAGGCTGCCAACAGAGGTTTTGTAAAACCAAAGGCCGCTGCGGGATGCTGGGTGCTTTCGGCCTGACGGTTTGCTTGGGGTTTTGGAGGTGTTTGAAGAGACCCGCTGAAATGCAAGGAGCTGCGCAGTGCACGGCACATCTCTCCCACCGTTCCTGCTGCCATGTCCTGGTCGTGGAAAGCAAGCACCTTGCCAGCAGCAGAAGACACCCCACTGATGCGCTCCCTGCAGCGAAGGAGCAGCTCCGTCACCCTCAGCCGAGGCTCTGTGGCTTTCCAGGGGGCTGTGGGAGGGGGCTGGACCAGCCCCCAGAGCCAGGAGACACAATCCTGTGGATTTGCATTCTCAACGCCTGCACAGACCTTCCGAGATGGGCGGATACGGGAGCCTTTCCCATGTGGAGACAGCAAGACCCTTCCTTCCCCTTGCAAACACCCATTCGCACCCAGCACGGGGCAGCTTATTACCTCTGAAGTTTACGCAATGCGACTAGGGGACAGACAGACAGACAGACAGGACGTTCACAGACAAGTGCATCACAAAGTCAACACCAAGAAACCAAATGCCCCAAACCCCTTGGGCCAGACGGGGGACAGGACCAGCCCGTTTTCCCAGTTCCTCCCCTTGTCAAGGGACTGGGGTTGGGGTAAGTCAAAGCCTGCCCTGTGCCCTGTGTCCTGTGGGGAAGGGTGCTGCTACCAGCTGAAAACCAGCATCCCAAAGCCAGCACAACCTGGTGCCCAGAGTTGCTGGAGCTGCACAAGGAGTTGCCCTGGCCCTGCAAGGAGCAAATATTTCCAAATCCCTCCTGGAGATGCTAAGAAATCCCCTCTCAGCTGGGAGGGGAGGACCGGCTCCTCCAGCAGCTCCTTGCCCAGGAAGGACCAATGCAGCTTGCAGCCCTCACGGCTGATGCTGAGCGGACTGGAGCTGGGGTGCACACCCTCATCACAAACACAGCATCTCCAAAAAAACCCAAGCACCACAAAGAAGCCACTGAACCCAAAGCAAGGCAGGCCCGCTGTGCCACCGCTCTCCCCCACCACGAGAGCCGAATTCCCCCAACAAACTGATGGTGAGGTTTCCTTTGCCATCGGTAAGCGATGTCTCACATCCTCTCCGACCATAATGGGCTGAAAAACACAATTCCCCTGTGGATTCAGCCCGTTTCCTTCTATTCTTTAACAGGAAGCTCTGCGAGAGTCAGCCCAGGCAGGCAAATCGCTCCTCACCCTCTCGTCCCTCCCGGGATGGACAGAGCCTCAGCCGGGCTGCAGAGCCACAGGCCGCCGCGAAGATGCTGGCTCCGTCCGTCCGTCCGCTCCTCTGGCTGTTCGGCTGCGTGCTGTTCCGAGGTGAGATGCTCCGCTCGCAGCCCGGGCGGGGTGAAGCGGTGCTGGGCGGGGGGACGTGGGGAGCGCGGCTTCACGAGGGGCACCACAGGGAAGCGGCCAGGCATGCAAACGTGTAGTAGCTGCCATCGGAAAGCTCAGCCTTTAAATTCAGGGGTGGCAGGAGTCAGGTTGCTGGGAAAAATGCGGCCGTACCAGGTTCACGGGGTTTATTTGACAGCGCTGGAATATAAAACCTGTTTCCTGGTTAACAAAAGGAGCGTTGCTGCTGAGGGCTGCGATGCTGAGGTGTTTTGTAGCAAGTGACTTTTGTCAAATAAGCATAAATGTAGAACATTGAAATGTACACAACATTATTTTCCTCAAAGCTATTTTTCCCTTGGTGACTTTAATTTTTCCTCTCGTCGATATGAATACAAAGACCCTGTGGAAGACTCATGCAGACCACGCTTAGGGACATGGTTTGGTGGTGGACTTGGCAGTGTTAGTTTTACGGTTGGACTCGATGACTTTAAGGTCTTTTTCAACCTAAATGATTGTGCATCCTTACTGTAATAATTCTGCTCCTCTGTGATAGTTCTGCTTTGGCTTCTCTTTCCCACGTGAGTCGCGGTGTGGGATGAAGGAACCGGTTTCCGGCTCTGAAGGGCGACAGGTTGCTTTTTCCTGCGTTGTCAGGCACCTTTCGCGTTGCTGACAGCCGAAGTAGCTAGGAGCTGAAAAGCAGTCAGAGGAATACAGACTGCAACACCATCGCTGCTTCTAACAGGCAACCACCTAAAAACAACGCGTCTCCGATCCGAAGTTTTTAATCATTAAACCACAGAAGTTGCCTATGGGTTATAACCACTGTGCTGGTAATTACAGGATTTTTGAAAGGCAGAGAATATAGAAACCAATTCAGTTAGTAGCTGTGTCATTCTGAAAAGTAAGAGCGCGTGGATTGGAAACCTTCTCTCTTCATCAGGGGTGATACTGCTGGCTTTGTGCCTGGGTATCAGCCAAGCGGCTCTGAGGCCCCATGGCCATACTGCGACGCTCCTGCATGCCTGCCCAGAATGCTGGTTTTCCCTTAAAACTCCCTGGTGTGCTGGCACGGGACAGGGACGCCACAGAGGCTGTCAGGCACCTTCCCCAGCTCGGCTGCACACCAAGATGCAGCCCCTGCCCGGAGCGGGGCCGCTGGCTGCCTGGGCCCCGGAGATTCGCCCCCGGGCAGACCTGGCTGCTGCGGTACCAGCTGGGAGGGACAGCACGCCCCGTCCCTCGGTCCGAGGGCATCCCTTCGTCCTCTGCAGCCCGCCTAGGATCACGGGGCAGGGACCGCTCTCACGAGACGTGTGCCGAGCAGCTGGCGCCGGACCCCAGCGGGGCCGATGCCTACAGACCATGGCAACGGCGCTGCTGGTGCTGGCTGTGCCTCAGCTCACGGTGCCGTGGCACCTCTCCGGCTTCCATCAAAACAACCGGCCTTCCCCGCGGTCACGCGTGCCGTCTCACTGTTTTGCATTGATCCGACAGTTCTGAAATGGCTTTTTTCATTTTATTTTTCATTGTATAGCAAAGTCACTAAGGTGGTCTAGTACCTGGAGGGGGGAGCTTCTGCGCAAGGCCCAGCAGCAGGCTTAGCGCAAGGGGCAGGGACGGGGGCAGTGACGCCACACGTTCCCCGACACACAGGCAGAGAAGGGAACTGGAGGCTCCTGAACACGACAGAAGAGCTCACAGGTCTCCCTGCACCTGAGGAGGTGGAAGTGACCTTGCAGGAGAGACAGAATTTGCTTTGGCTGCAGACTAATACCTGCCTGTTTCCACACAGTTTTTGGGTTTTTTTAAAGACTTTGTGCAAGTTCATTAATTCATTAATGAATTTATTATTTCTTCATTTAAACTCCTGACACTCTCAGTTATTTCTAAAGGGAGGTTCAAATACTGTTGTTTTGAAATTGCTGAAGTGGGAAGGTTTGGAACATTTCCATCCTGTTTTTCCTCCCCCAGAAACACTTAACAGAATATTTGTCCAAACAAACCTCTTCCTATGAACCATTTCCATTACAATGGGCAGGCATTTTCCAGACAAAAGATTTCCACTAAAAAATTCCTCCTCGAAGCTGATGAGAACCAGCAGCATTTTCCCACTATTGATCGCTCTATGCACTGCTCTCCTTATCTGCACCACAGGCAGTGGATGGATAATGCCACGAGCAGCACAGTATATTGAAAACATACAAATATGTTGATATATATTTTTGACATAATGGGAAACATGGGGTGCGGCTAGAGGACAGAGATTGAGCTGCCAGGAGACCTGCCAGACACAGTGCTTGCGTCCTAAATCCAGGGCATCTGGTGGATCCTCATGCCGATTCCTTCACCAAAAAGGACTGGCAAGCACAACCCTGACCTGGTGAAGAAGGAAGAGAAAGCAGGAGGTGGATAGGAGAAATGTTTGTTCAGAAAACAAACTGCTCCCTTCTAGTAACACGAAACCCCGCAGATGACTCTGCAAATCTGACCAAAGCAGCCAGAGATGGTTTCCAGGAATTATGTCCCATTTACAATAGGTGAGTCAACAACAGGTGTCCTTGGAGAAGACAGTGCCGGTAACCCCACACCGGGAAGGCTCCTGCTGGGAAAGCCGAGGCGCGGGCTTAAGCCCAAGACTGGAAAAAGGAGAGCTGCACCTTGTGTAGCACCAGCGAAAGGCACCGCTGCCAAGCCTCAGGCAGACGGTCTCATTGCTCTACTGCCCAGCCGGACCCAACCACCACAAAGAGGAGGAACCTCCCATCTGGTCTTTTTTGTAGACTTATGGGCTGGGGCGGCTGTTTTCACCTTTCAGCTGAATCATCCCAGCACAGCAGAAAGGAGCAAAGTCCCCTCTAACATCTCTGGCTGTGGTGGTGTTTGAAGACATAAAAGCTTCAAGGAGACTTTGCCCCTAATGCCGGTAGCTGGTGAAACTTGCTTCAAACCCGATGAAACACCAGGGATGCGATTAAAAGGCACTGCCTTACTAGCAGCTGGATTTCACAGCTTAGGGAGAACCTTCTTACCCCTTGCCGGTCAGAAACCACTGGCCTGGGACCCAATCTGGGGCACAGGAATGGGACAGGGACGTTGTAGCACAGAAGCAAAGCTAGTGGCTTGGGCTTGCCACCCTACGTAAAGAACAGGCAGGGAGAGCTCACGTGGAGCTCTTTGTGGCAACAATGTGGGTCCATGGAGGTGTGGGGGGTGTCCATTCACAGTCCAGAGCGAGCCAGGCAAACCCTTCTGGCACTGGGGACAGCCATCACTGGTTCTGGGCAAGAGAGGGGATGCAAGGTGGGTTTCCCCTACCCTTCCCAGCATCATCAGGCACAGCTGCAGGCTCTGAATGCCCCCGAGGGCAGCACAGCTTTGGGCGAGCAGCTCCAGATATACAATTCAATAAGCTCCTCTTGTACACTAGCTAGAAGTGACTCTGGAGTTGCTAAAAATCTTGGAATCACATTGAAATTCATGCAATTAGAAATGAGGGAGAAACATGTCACAGCTGGCGATGCACCGGACGGAGACACAGGACCACTGGGCTTTGTGTCTGCCACTTACCACAGCTGCATAACATTCCCGTGCCTTGTTTTCCCCAGATATGAAATAGGAAAAATAAAATGACCTCTTCCATGAAGTGCTTTGAAATCTGGGAATAAAACCTAGATGATATCACCAGGGTCACTCACCTAAAACCTGGGCTCAGATGAAGCTTCTCAGGCCACGATGCTTCACCTGCGCTTCAGCTGCTGCTGCAGCAAGACTCAGCGTTTCAGGCAGCAGCTGCAAGGTGCCTCCCCAGCACCCACGCGCCGAAATGATGGCACCCAGGCAGGGACGTCCTTCAGTGCTCCCCTGGGGTTCAAGCCAGGACACTGGTGAAAAGAGAGTGGAAGGAACAGGAATTGTGAGACACCCCTTTGCCACCAGCCACACCCTGTCTCCTGGGTCACCAAGTGGGAGCCAAACTGATCCCAGCAGATCACGTTCCTGCACGGTGCTTCACGGACACCATACAGCCTGGCTGCTACCAGCAGCACCCAAATAAACCTGGGGAATCTTGGAATTACTGGAAAGAATAATAAATTCATGAATAAACTCGGAAATGGTAGCAAAGAGCCTCCATGAACTTGGGGGAAGCAAGACATGCCTGGCAGGCACCCCCCGCAGACGCACCACGCTGGCTGCATGGCTGCAGGGGATGGCAACGCCGGTGCTGACGGCACAGCAGGCTGATGGAGCAGGGGTTTGGTCCCCGAACACCATGGAGCAGTGGTGGTGCAGCCAGAAGAAAAGTTGTGCTGCTTTCCTCTTCCAGGAGCAACAACTTTTCGCGGAAAAAACAGACCTCAGCACACACAGTGATGTGCAGAGCCCGCTCCGTGCACGCGGTTTCCCCACATTGTTTGTCTCCTGTCTTGTTTTCTACATTCAAGTGGTTTTTAATTGATTTCCGCTAAGATCTGCTTCCAGAACAGCTCACCAGCAAGGAGCTCAGAGCATGATGCTCAGAGAGGATGCCCAGGCCTGGGTGCAGCCCTTGAGGAGGGGCAGAGGAAGGCTAAGGTTAATTTTAATTGCTGATGAGATCCGGGTTTAATTCCTGGCTCTCTAAACTTTCCGTAACACTTTGGCCAAGTCATTACAATTCCGCACCGCTTGGCAGTGAGCTGCCAAACCTCCCATGCCATTGGGGAATTAGATGCTTAAATACCTCTGTGGGTCTGGGACCTGATTTAGGCTGTCACTCATCCAGCCTGCACAATGACACTTTGCCTCTCTCTCCTCCACAGTTTCCACCTTACCTGTTCTGCTGTGAGACCCTCAAGAAAAAGGCACCTTTTTTAGGCGCTTAATAAAATGGGACCTAGGCTTTTGCAGAGCTCTCTGCTGTCCACATTTCCTAATACAGGATTTTTCTCCATGTGAAAGCCCTAAGAATCAGGCAGTGTTGCTCCCTGCTGCTTCAA